GCCACCACAAGCTGCTAATTTTTGTATTTTTAGTAGAGACAGGGTTTCACCATGTTGACCAGGATGGTCTCGATCTCTTGACCTTGTGATCCAACCGCCTCGGCCTCCCAAAGTGCTGGGATTATAGGCGTGAGCCACCGCGCCCAGCCCATAAAACTTTTAAAAACAAATTGGAAAAAAAAAAATGTCTCGAGTCCAACATCCCAGAGAAAGCCACATGTTGGTTGGTTGGCTGCCATCTTGCTGATGATGGTCACAGTTCACTACAGCTTCAAACTCCCGAACTCAAGTGATCCTCCTGCCTCAGCCTCTTGAGTAGCTACGATTACCAGTGCACACCATGAACCTCAGCTACCATTATCGTCTTTGCCACCATCACCATCATCTTCACCATCATCGTCACAGTCATCACCATCACTCCCACTCCACAGTTCCCATCATCACCACCACCACCTACCTGGGGGAACTGGGACAGCCGTCTCTCTCCCAGACCTATTTCTGGACCTGATGGCCGATGAGATGACGATATATCTAATCCCGCATCCTGAAATGCCGATAAGTCTAATCTTGCATCCAGATGAGTTCTGTCTAAACTGCTCAGAGTCTCTGAGACACAGCCTTCCCATTTTGGTCCCACAGAGGCATCAGCTTCAGTGAGACAGCAGCAGCTGACGCTGCCCTCGGCTACATCATTGCCTTCCTGGTACTCCTGTCCACGGTGAAGCTTTGGCATCTGCTCAGGTTGAATCCCAAAATGAACATGATCACAGCAGCCCTACGCCGTGCCTGGGGTGACATTTCGGGCTTTATTATTGTCATCCTTACCATGCTTCTGGCTTACTCCATCGCGGTAAGTGTCTGCTTTGGAAAAAGCTTGGGGCTGATTCTGTGAAAGCCAAGGCTAACTGGTGGTGGAAAGTGGACGGTTAGGGTTAGGGAGACCCCAGGGACCCAAGGAAGGTGGTGGCTTTCCTGAGTACAGGGTCTCTTAGCTGTGAGCTCATGCACCAGTCAACTCAAATGGCAAAGGCTGCAGAGCTCAGGTGGGTAGGGTGAGGAAGCTCTAGTGCTGAAAGGGTCCAGGTTCAGGAAGAATTCCTTTCTGCATCTAGAGCCCTCCTGGATGTGTCAGTTCTCCTGGCTTCCCAACTGGTCAGAAGGCACAGGGCTAACACCCAGACACACACAGAGCACTTGGGAGGCCAAGGCAGGTGGATCACCTTAGGTCAGGAGTTCAAGGCCAGCCTGACCAAAATCATGAAACCCTGTCTCTACTAAAAAAAAAAAAATTAGCAGGACATGGTGGTGCATACCTGTAGTCCCAGCTACTTGTGAGGCTGAGGCAGGAGAATCGCTTGAACCTGCGAGGTGGAGGTTGCAGTGAGCCGAGATCACGCCATTGCACTCTAGCCTGAGTGACAGAGCGAGGCTCCGTCTCAAAAA